TTTCGTAATTAAAGTACATTAATTACGGATAGATAATTTTAATTACCGTCAGCACTTCTTAAAAATGCATTAATTACTTTAAGTACTTTTGATTGCATTTTAACTTCAACGCACCGGTTCTTTGTATTGCGTGCCCTTAGATACTATTAACGAAGGTTTTGTTAAAACATCTAGTGGCATAATAAAATACCAAACAGAAAATTACAGTTTCTCACTGCACACTGAACAATCTAAAACAATCACTACACGCTCAAAGCAAAATACGCAATTTTGCTGCGTCTGTTTTGATTTGATTTCAATGGCTCAAATTGTCATGGCAAGGAAAACAAGTATACACAGAGAAAAAAATCCTAAATATAAGTTATTTTTACTTAATTTTGGGTAATTTTGAGTTTTGCATCCCACTCTCACTTTTTGTTATTGTCAAAAACGGAACGAGAGATTCGATTTTCTCATGACTATCGTTCAATAAGCTACTAGTGAGTATATGAAATATTCTCAAATTTGAGTAGTCAATTGAACTTAATTTTGGGTAGAAAATACTCACGAGTAAGTAATTATTTTTGCCGTAGTCAAATGTAAAATACTATAAGCGGTTTACTGAAAATTAGCTTATTGAACGGAACGTGAGAGATGAGTGATAAGAACTTAATGTTGGGTAATTTTTCGGTTCCGGGTACAACGAATTCCATGTGTGCTATCTGCTTCTCCCTCCCAGGGTTGAACTCGGTATAGAGATTTTGACACAAGACCAGTGATGCCAACATTCCAGTTTAAACTGGATTCTACCAGTATATTTTTTTAAACTTATTGGAAAGCAATAGTAATTCTTCATAACAAGTTACATAAAACACATTTTTCATACAAATCGAGAATACCCAATAAATTAGTAGTACTAATTTAGTACTAGAATTACAGGGTGTTGACTACCTGAAAAAAACCTGGAAAATCAGGGGATATCATGGAAAAAAAAAATGGTCCAGGAAAATCAGGGAATCTCAGGGAATTTAATTCAAATTCTGGGAAATATTTCTTAGTCCTAGAAACTTGATAGAAAGTATAACTGACGTCGCTAGTTTCAAACAACTTAATTACGCCGTGTAGTTCGAGGATGGTTGTTCATTTAAAATTTTAAACAGAGTTGCGAACTTGTGGTTGCTAAATGCTTGTTGTTGCATTTTTGCAAGTTGAGCAAAAATTATTCATCTAGGATATTTCGATCATCTTGGGCTACATATAAATTCAGCTCCCACTCGATGTTGGCAGGTTAGCTCGGAAAATTAGCTTCTCAGTGAAGTTTTAGTATTGGGATGTTGCTGCTATTGCACGAAAGTTTGAGAGCTTGTGACAGGTGTGTTGCAGGGATTGATTAAAGTGTTTTACGGGTCTTTCAGTCTTCAGTCAGTCAGCAAAAACGTTATATTGCTTTAACTCTCCGACGTTTCGGTGATATTCTTCACCATTTTCAAGGATTTGAAGAATTATATATGAAGAGGGTTTAGATAATTGGATAGGTACTGTGTTGGTTGTGTGGCTTATAGAGGTTACGTTTTTTTTTGTTAAGTGTATGCGTGGTTTATATATACATATGTAAATCCGTCTTTGATTGTAAATGGCGTCCATCTACGGCTACAATACAAATTCGGTTAGATTTAATTCTTGTTGTGCTCTACTCTACACCCAACTTACTAAGCGCGTTTCCACAACTCTGTGTTTCCCTGTTTCGTTAGATTTTTTTTCGGTTGCAATGTGCGCCGGAAAAACTCCTTGTTTCCGACATCGGATGAGGAAAGACTTTCTGTTTGCCATGCTTGCGATTTTGTTTGGTTGCGTTGGCGTAGTCTTTGCAGCACAATTTAGCTTGCGTACCGTAGATATTTTTTTAAATTTTTATAGAAGTGGACGTTGTATGAGGTGGCCATGTTACTTAAGATTATTTGTTACTTATTATGGCAATTAAGATGGAATCAACTTACATAATTTTGGAGCGCTGTTTTTACGATTTTCCACCGCAGTTGGTTACGTGTATTATCCGGAATAATTTTCTTGCGGAGCTGGGACTCAAATCGTGCTCAAGGGAGGAATAATATAATGGGATTAAAGACAAGTGTTTCATATGTAAGATGCACAACTGGGTGAATTTATGTTCCTAGCATTAAGCTCGAAAACAGTCAAAAAGAACTTCTGAGCGTGAGAAAACTGCCATTTCAAGGATTCTTCTCCTATCATTGAGTAAATCGAGGTAAGATGATAAGAAACGGATCATGAACTTGCTGAAAGCACTAAGCAATTAACAAGCCTTTTTTATATATTTACTGCAATCTATAAAATGTATCGAATTAAATTTTAGATTGCACTGGACCACTCTCATGCGTTAGAGGTCCATGAGTTTTCATGAAAAAATATCCAGAAAGCACTAGTACATATCTGAGGAAAGTAATAGCTGATAAGGTCATGTTACCGAAAACGGGTAGGCACTGTACCTGGTTTTTTCAAACATTATTGGAAAATCAGGAAATATCAGGGAATTTGGTTTTCAACATTGAGTCGACACTCTGTATTAGACCCAACCACAACTAATTAGCCAAATAGGTTGTCTTACCCTTCGCCTGTGCCAAAAAAAAACCCAAGTTCAAGTAGCGTATTTTAGCGACGGTTCAACGGATGTTTGAAATTTCAAATGGTTTGTAAAGTAAATTTTATTAGTATATGTAGTCACCTTGGCCTAAACGAGAAAGAAATCCTGTTCGATTAGATGGTTTTTCTTTTTTGAAAACGAGGAGATACACAATTATTGCAGATATTGACTTCACTACTGCAAATATTTGACGCAGAAGAAGCCGTCAATACGTGATTATTCTGGCTATGAACCTCACACTCAAATAGATCGGTCGATCTGTATCTTATGCAAGTATGCTCCTTGCAGTTTACTTTCGTTTTCGGTTTCTCGGCGTTTTTCCAAATCCGTCACTTTCATGGATGAACACCAGCACGTACGGAGCAGCTTCCTTTTGCTGAAATCGAAGAACATAACATTCTCAAACACTTATCCCCAAAAACCAATAACCCAAACATACCTGTTAAAATGTAACATTCTCTGCTGGATCCTGTGAACAGCCATCATCAGATCTAGGAAGCCGATCACGTAGGTTTTCTTGGTAACACAGGACGTCAGAACCAAGTACGGTTCATAGCGATGTTTTTAGTGGGCTGGACTTGGTTTGAACCCTACCGTACTGGATAGAGTGATCAGAATGTCCGTGGGACTCGATCCGTCGCGAAGGACTTTTTTCACCTGTGTGGATGAGGGGCCTCCCTTAGCTAAGTCGGTAAAGGCGCAGCTACAAAGCAAGACCATGCTGGAGGTGGTTGGGTTCGATTCCCGGTCCGGTCTAGGAGTTTTTCGGGTTGGAAAATTTCTCGACATCCATGGGCATAGAAGTATGATTGGACTTGCAACACAATTATACCAATGCAAAAATGGTACAGGCATCGAAAGCTCTCAATTAATAACTGTGGAAGTGCATCTAGAACACTAAGTTGAGAGCACGCAATAAGCTAGTATGCGATATCCAATAAGCTTTAAATGCGAAGAAGAAGAAGAAGAAGGATGAGGTGGCTGTTGTTCCATGTTTCTTTCGAAAGCCTTCCTTCGTTGTGCCCTTGTCCTGCATCAGTTAGGCCAGTTACCGGATAGATTTTCGATCAGTTTGAACCCGCTTTCAAACGATTTATTAATTTCACAATTATTTGCAATTTTCCTCACGCACGCACTGACCACAGAAACAGATGCCTGTAAAAATTACAAAATCGAATTTTATACACTGAACTAATTCCACGCCGTTATTCTGACTTAGCAAAAATTTGAAGTTGAATTTTAATCCTATCAATGTATAAACATGATGTAACCATAAAATGATTCAATTTCAATCACCCTTTGTTTAGTAATATTTTTGAGTGTATAGTTTCGTGAAGCACCTGACTATGCACATTTTGCCATCATTTATATGTGATATTTTCTAAACACTAATAAATAATTACCTCGAATGTCACTTCCCCGACCGCCATCACCCATTTTCCATTCCATTACCCTAATTGGGAAAAGAACGAACAGCAATCAAGCAATACATCAAATCCCCTCACCGATCAAAGTGTGAGCTAGGTAAAGGAGTGCTCATTAATGGCCATTCGCTCAATTTCAACTTCTTTTCAATTTTCACACTGCCGTACTCTAACGGAACTATCAATCTATCCTCTTCAGAATTTTATGTAGTTTAAAAAATATCGCACTAAAGCTTCCTGTTGATATTAGTATAGCATTTTCTCCCAGCTCTGAAAATCGTAAACTTCACGTATGAAGTAGCAAAACACTTTAATTGAAATAATCTTATTAGGGAAAGTGATCATTCAGGGTTATGGCGTTCGGGGAAGTGCCATTCGGGATAACGGCATTCGGGGTGATGTAGCACAACCACTAATCTAGCTTCTTTTGATATTAACGCATTAGGTACTTAGCATTGTGTATTATTTTAAGTTCTAATTCGCTTACTAGTAGCCTCTGGCAGCATGACGTCTCAAAAATTGAACTGCACGAATATATGTATACATGTAAGGGGAGTTGACATAATGCCCATTTAGCATAACTGCCGTTTGTCATAATGGCCATTTGGCATATACAGTTTTATTTTATCATTATCGGATCTTCAAAACATATGAAAGAACAACTCATGCTCAAAGGAAGCTTTTTTTTTATACCTTATTGAAGTGAGTTGAAGCCTGAGGCTAGTACATTACTGCTCAAAAGAAGAGAAATTACCCATATTGTTCCCTTCTTTTAGACCATGAGCTGTTCTTTTCCGCATTTATGCCAAACGACCATAATGCTAAATAGCAGTTATGCCAAATGGGGTACTCCCCACGTGAGCGCGCACGCGTTGATAATGTGATGCGATTGTTATGTTTTTCAATTACCATTTCCAACCGCGTGCCCCGACACACAGATACGACGAAAATGGAAACACTCTCGGCATTCCAGAGTTTGAACCACCAAAACCGAAACGCCTTGCGTTCGACCTTGACCATGCGGTAGCGCTGGACGCTATCCAAGAGGCTCACCTGGCTTCGCAGCAGTTGCTCAACGTAAGTTTCCTTGCTGTGAACGACCCGCATAGTTTAAAACTAATTCCTCGTGTCCCGACAGGATGTAGACTTGCGCATCTTCGTGCACGACGCCTACGGTAAGGGACTGATGAAGAAGTGCCGCATATCGCCGGATGCGTACCTCCAGATGGCCCTGCAGTTGGCCTACTACCGAGATGCTGGAAAATTCTCCCTTACCTACGAAGCATCGATGACTCGTCTGTTCCGCGAAGGTCGTACCGAAACCGTCCGTCCCTGTACGATCGAGTCCGCAAACTGGGTGAAAGCGATGGAGAATCCTAGCATTGGGGTAGGTTTTTTTTTCGCATTCTCAAATGGATCTAAGATCACCGAATGTTGTTATATTGTTTCAGGTTGAGGAACGAGTCAAACTTCTCAACGCTGCGAGCGATCGTCACCAGCTCGGCTATCAAGATGCCATGTGTGGCAAGGGAATCGATCGTCATCTGTTCTGTCTGTATGTCGTGTCCAAGTACCTGGAACTGGATTCGCCCTTCCTGAAGAAGGTGCTCAGCGAACCATGGCGGTTGTCCACTAGTCAAACCCCGCACGGCCAAACTGCCAAGATGGATCTGAGGAAGCATCCGAACTGTATCAGCGCTGGTGGCGGTTTCGGACCGGTCGCCGACGACGGTTACGGTGTGTCGTACATCGTGGCTGGTGAGGATTTGATATTCTTCCACATTTCGTCGAAAAACAGCTGCGGCACGACGGTGAGTGATTTTCTGTTGATGATAAAACGTAAAAGACTGTTTGCAGCTTAAATTTTCTAAATTTTTTAATGTGTTTTCGATTTCCCTTATTTTGTAATCTGTTTGAACACATAAGAGCATAACTGCGTCATATTTGCCGATATAAGAAATCATGTTGGATGGTTATTCCTCATACTGTTCACTCGCGCGTTTAACGACTTATGTGAATGTAATTTAGTTGGCAAGGGTTGATGCATATATTATGTCACGCGCTGAGGGAGAAAGAGGTTTTGTGACAAGCAATGCATTAGGTTTAGGAAAAACGTGACGAAAGGTGGGAGGGAAGTAAATATTTCCTCAATTTAGTGTGACATAATTAATGCATCGCCCCAAGTACGCCATCGATTGCGGAAATATTCAACTGTTATAAATTTTGATGCTCGATTACTACCTATTTTTGCTATGGGCCACTTTTCGTTCAAAGGTATTGTATGAAAAATATCGATGGCATGTTTTTATGATCATGATCCCCGATGAAAATTTTGTGTAGGGGTAAGAGGGGCATAGTGAACAGGTGGGGCATAGTGAGCATCCCGTGCACCAGCTTGGACTTCCCGCCATTCGGAACAAATTTATTGGTGGTAGGATCATTATCATAATGATATTGAACCTACTACCAGTTGATTTGTTTCATGCAGCTAGAGATCCGGGGCCAAACTTCGGGATGCTCACTATGCCCCTCCTCCCCCTAGTAGTACCAAAATGCATGGAAAAGAGTTTTCTTTTATATTGTGAAGATTTTGCACTCAAAAAATTCTACACGTCATCATCATGTGTCTCACACTTAATTTTGCGCTTATTGTGAATCACATCTATTTCATGTGTGAATCTTATGCTATGAACAATGCCTGAACACTATGGATTTGAATTGTGACACACTTGGATTCAATGTTGCTATTCTCTGATAAAAAACAAGATTGGATACGGAGCACTTTCATGACTGATGTTAGAAAGTCAAATTCTCTCGTAAGCCTTCCGTTGGGAGACTTGTCATTTAACGAGAGTGCATATTATGACTTCATTTTTGCTTCTCGCTAGCTTGGATGAACTAATATAAAGATTGCTTGATAGGAATGAACTATTATGAAACCGGAGTTACATCAGTTCATGAATCAGTTGGAAATGATTGATCTATTCGTAACCAATCCTTTCTTTGAATCATCGCGATGAGTAGTGATGAAACCGAAATATGAGGAGATGTGAGAAAAAACATTCAAATAAAAATTTGTTAGTAACGAATCGATTCTGATAAGCCAAATTTCTACTTTTACTGCTTTTATTTGAACTTTAGTGTTGGTTTAAACTAAGTCTCCATCTGCGCTAAAATATATTCTGCATATGGTTTTTTGTTTGAACTAGAAAAGTTTTCTAAATTCAAAAAACAACTGGATTGAATTCAAAAATATAAATATTATCAAAATAAAACCTACCAAATGTTATAGTTGATTCAAAATATTGATATTATTAAAACAAACCTCCCTAGAAGGATTACAAAAACATTATGAAACAACAAGCTATTTTGTAGAGCCAAAAAATATTTTGTATAAAGCTGACAATAATTATTGTGGAAATAGTTTTTAAATATGTTTTTTTCTTTTTTTAATATATATCTAAACATTATTTTTTAACGCAATTTTTATATATTCGTTTAGCAAAAAAGGGCCTACTAATAATAATAATAATAATAATAATATATATAAATAATAAATAATAATAATAAAGGTTTGTTTACAAAAAGCATGTATGTCCTTTTCACATGTTGCTCTTGATATCACGGGAGATAGCATACTCTAATAAACAAAAAAATTGAACGAATGTTAACCCAGATGTTTCAACTATCTCAAAGGTTTGGATGATACGCCAAATGCGTTGTTAGGCTCTTTTTTATTAGGGTATCTTATTAAACATATTGCTCCATGAATGAAAAACACGATTTATCATCGTAGCAACAACTGATTAGTTATATTTGACTTCTCACTGTCATTTTCACATCGCTAGTTTTGGCCTGATTTGACAAGGATTTCGAAGGTTTTTAAATCAATTGTAACGATACTAAAGTGAGCTTTCATTATAACGTTTTGTGATTGTTGGTATCTCAAAAAGCGTTATTTATGCTGTTCCGTATATTCAATAAATCCAAACGTAATCCAACTTTTATATATCGCCAAACATTATTGAGAGTACCATAACAAATATGTCCCATTGACAATGGCTTCATTAAGAATCCGCCAATTCAGTTCTTAACGCTGATGATATCGAAGATTGTCGTCTTCCTCTTGAACAAATAAATTCATGAAAAGAGTAGTAAAAAATAGACCATATACGTAAGTGTTTTTTTTTTATTATTATTTCGTAACAAGAAACAGTTTTTAGCTTCATCTAAAATTTAAAAAAAATCATTTCTTAATTGCCTCATAATTCTTCACACCCTTACAAAATGCAGCGTCAAGATCCTCTGCAATCTTTGGTAAAAGATCATCATTCATTTTAAGGATCATTATATCATTAAATGTATAGCCAGCCAAACGCATCCGAGTATCCGTCAAAACATTTTTGAAATGGCTGAATAGCCTTTCAACTGACACTTGCGTAGAAGGAGCCGATAGTACAGGTTTTGCGAGACGATACAAACGAGGATTGGTGAATCGACGCTTTCTCCAATAATCAAGTATATCGAAGTGAGTTGTAAGCAACGGGATTGATTTTGATGAAGAAGCTTGTGGATTGATATTTGGCGAATCCGTTATGTTCACCTTATCTCGTGATTCCAACTTCATAATCTCTACAATCAGCGAATCTTTTTTTTTTTTTTTTTCCCTCTCGCTTTGGCGCAGACCGTGTTGGTCCATAACAGCCAAGTCTTGTAATGACAATTTTAACGTCAAATATTCGAACGACCGATTAATTGAAAAATCTTATCATTTCAGTGACGGGTGGCTACTAATGTAAATATTATTAAACTTATTTTACTCGAATCAATTAGTCTCAAATATTAACTCCTATCTCTCCCAAAAATTTAGCAATTTCTTTGATTTTTTGATAGTTAGTGCCTTTAAGAATTTGAACTATTTCTTCTTTTTGTATAAGTGATTGGTATTTGCAGCGCTTTGTATCATATTTCGGACATTTGTGTAAGATGTGTGTTATATCTTCAGTGACATTACAGTGTTCGCATTTGTCGGAGGATATTAAACCCCATCTATTTAGCCTATCTTTTGTAGCTAAGTGTCCTGTTCGTAATCGACTAATAGTTATGGTGTCTCTAGTGGAAAGCTTTATATCTTCAAACCACGGTTTTAATCTTATATTTTGCATTATACTATAGTGATAAATTCCTTTTTCTTCAGATATTAACTTATATCTTTGATTCCACATGCATGTGGTTTCTAATTTAATGTTAAGTATCAAATCATCTTTGGTTATTGGAGTGTTTTCTATCTGTTGCCTGCTTGTACCCATTTTAGCTGCTAAATCTGCTCTTTCGTTGCCAATTAATCCAGTATGTCCTGGAATCCACTGTATTATAATTTTATCGACATTAGAGGTTTTAATTTTATTGTATAGATCATTAATTAAAAAGTTATCATTATTAGTATTGTTTTTAATTAGAAGAGCAGCGCTCTTGGAATCAGTTAATATGACTGCAGTTTTTATATTTTTGGAAATGATATATTCTACACTTTTTAATATTGCGAATATTTCGGCATTCATTATTGTAAATTGGGTTTTTAGTCTCCCACTAAAGGATATGCGTTCTATACTATCATAAAAACCATAACCGGTTTTTTCATCGATTTTTGATCCATCTGTGTATATCAGATATTCATTTTTGTAGTTTTTGTCGATTAATTCCAAAACCATTGTTTTCTGTGTTACTGTCGAAATTTCTTTTTTCTTTAGATGTTTTATTTCTGTATTTATTTTCAATTTGGTGGTGGTGTTATACGAAGGTTTTGTACCCAGTTGAATTAGATGGTAATTGTTTATTCCTGCTATTTTTTCTAAAAAAGAAGTCTGACTAGGTAACTCATTCGAATTTATAAATTTTCCTAAGAATGTGACTATTGGTGTATTTTGATGGTATAGATTTTTTACTATTTCTTTAATGGATAAATATTCTGCTCTTTCTTTCATTGGTAATATACCACTTTCTGATAATATTACATGATTTGGCGTAGACTTAAGGTATCTCATACAAGTTCTTATATATAGGTGTTGAACTGTCTCTAATTTTGTAAAAACTGTTTTGGATGCAGATGCTATTATTGTTAGACCATAATCTAAGTGTGGCTGTACTATTGATTTTGCTACTCTTAACATTGTAGATGGATGAGCTCCTTTTTTACCTTTTGCAATCATTTTTAATATATTTATTTTCCGTTTGGCTTTGATTACTGCAGACTCTATATGTTGTTTGTAGTTGAGTTTATGATCAATTTGAAATCCAAGAAATTTATGACAGTTCTTTACTTCAAAATCAGCGAATCATTGATTGTTTGGCTCACAATACTGTCAGTACTTTCCTCGTTGAAAAAATCTGTCAGATATTTTTCAATCCTATCGTCCATCAAAGTAGGTGGGGGTGTATCATGCACGTCAGTTTTATCAACTCCCGAAATTTCGTCAAGCTTTTTGTCCAAAGCTATCAAATATTTCTGTAAAAAATCATATTTCAGTCATTTTATTTGTATAACTTTATTTAACCCATACCTGTACTTCAGATTTGTCTTCAGCATTCAATCTTCCAGATCCTGCAAAGTTAAACCGTGGATCAAGATACAAACATGCTTTGAAGATTGATGTTCCACTAAGCATTCTCATCCGAGCTTTCATGGTCTTTAACAACTTCTTGGCAAGAGTATTCGCTGTGGTCACGTTATTCAATTACGCTTGACAAATAAGCCAGTCAACATAGAATTGAGACAGTGGCACGTGTTCCCTTTGAAGCTTTAAAGTAAGAATAAAAGTTGGATGGAAAGCTTCGCAGAACTGCTCAATGAAAATCCAGTGTTTCGCCAAATCTGTATAAGCAGACTGCATGAAAATCAAAGGCATTAGAATAATGTATTCAATAATTACCTATAGAAGCATCCTGATTTTTAAGCAACGGAAGTAGTGGATGAGTTTTCAACTCCCTGAAGTATTTCAATAACAGATACCAGACATTCCATCTGGTTTCTACTACTTTTGGTGGAAGTGCAACTTTTTGGAGTGAGAAGAGCTGCCGGTGCAATTTATGTCGCATAATGATTCCAATCTGATTGATTGCCGCCAAACGTGTTTTATATGGTTTCAGTACGTCCCATACCGCTAACTGAGCAGTGTGAACGGCGCATCGTGTACTTTCCAGCAAATATAGTTCAAAGGATTCGTCGTCATCGTATATGTCACTATTGAGATCAGTAGAGCCATGCTGTCCATTATTGTAGTCATCACATATCTCTGTATCAATTATTTCCACCTGATCTTCAACTTCATCTTCATTGTCAGAAATATTTGGATCATCTTTCGTATAGGCATTAAGTAAATTACTTTCTTCTTTTAGGTAGGGAGAATTGTTACTATCATTGTCAACGTACATTAGTTGCCTCATCAATTTCACAGAAGCAATCAAATTCTGTCCGTTATCGTGTGTGATTGTTAATATTTGATTGCGACTTAAGCCATATTCTTCAATAACATTCCGAAGAATTTGTTCAATGTTCTCTTTAGTTGCTCTTTCAACCATCTCGTACAAAGCTGTGTGAAGAGATTTTTAATTAAATAAGTTGTTCTTTTCTCGTATCATTTTCTAAATCTTAAAATATGTACTTACTTAAGGTTCTTATTTGAATGACATTATCGTCACTCATAAACTGCACATTGATCCCGATAGCATGACGACCTCCCCTTGAAGCAAGGTCAATTTTCATATGTACTACTTTTCCTGTCATTTCGTTTTTTATTCTTTCCTTTCCAAAAGTAGCTCCAAGAGTTGTGATGTTGGACAACGTAAACCTCGACATTTCGATTCCAGCGGCCTTCCATAAAGGACCGCAGAGCCGCTGCATTCCTTTCCATTGAGGAAAGCTTAGAGGAAGATTGTGACACGTTGCTAGTTCAACGGTTCCTAGCAAAATTTGCTTTCGATTAGTTTCAACGCATAATCTGTTGTAGCGACTTCTTTTCGAATCAGGTTCTCCATCTTCCTGTGTGTGCTCCAAGCTAGTAAACAGTTCGAGTCGTTCAGCAACAGCACGGTGGTGAGTAACTATGTGCCGCTTGAAGTTGCCGGTATTCAAGACGTCTTGTGAGTACTGGCATTTTCGGTCGGCATCTGGGTTTGCGTCGCAGATATACTTGGATGGTTTTCCGGAATTATCGTATGTTACCTGAATAACGTTCAGTAGTTTAACTTTTATGGAATTTCGAAACTTATGCTCCATCATCAGACCGAATTGTTTTTGTTTACGGTTAAGCACGAAGAACTGGTATATTCGTTGACAGCGATGAACACAGTGAGCGATGAGTAATGAATGCTCTCAAATAGTGAGAATTTGAGAGTATTCATTTCCACTTCATATTTTTCTCACAAGCTTTTGTGTTGACAGTTCTTCGCGAATGAATAGCAGCAGTGGGGGATACTGATAAATAAGATTTAAATCGATGATGAGTTGGTAATGAGCAATCATCGCGATGAAATTTAGCAACATTGCTTGGATTATATGTGCCTCATATGGTGATATCATTTGCACATCATAGTTCAATATTCTACAATATTCTACTTTATCGACTTCTACTTTGCCGACCCTAAAAATGAATCGACAAATATATAAACAAAATTGCCAGAGGCCAAGAGAGCTTACACATATCTTTTTAATGGGTCTGATTTAAGGATTCGATCATGGACTGTTGGGGTGTGCTGCTGCCGGAATCTTCGTTCGATCCCACTGTGCCACGGTTGTTCTCATATATATGAGGCGGGTTGATAGGATAAAGTCACAACTCTTGTTTTAGATGTTTACCTTTCTGAGCAAGCAATTCATATCGCATTGAAATGCAAAACACTTTAAATCCATCTGTTTTGAACAGTAGTGGGATTCAATGTGCAATACACATGAATAGATAGTGAAAGATTTTCAACATTTCAAAGTTTGAAACACTAGAAATTAACGTGTATAACATTTTGAACCAAGGTGAAATACACTTAAAGTAAATGTGATTGTGCATTCAAAAAATCAAATGTTTAAACACTTCGATCAAACGTGTGGAATTTTTTGAGTGTGGAATTCAAATTTTGAGTATTTAATTCATTATCGTAACAAGCACCCCATAAGATGATTTTAGCCGAAGGAAATTCAATTTTAAATATCTGTACAACTAAATTCCCTTAAGTAGGGGAAATGTAGGTAATGTCAACCTAAGTGTCCCTAATTTGGGCCCATACATAAATTCAGCAATCGACTAAATTTTCAATAGCAACCAAAAATATTCATTAGTAACGTCCTAATAACGCGTTCATCTAGATAAAATTGATAAATAGCAGATTTTTAGCGATGGGCCCAATCTTAGATCCATAGGCCAACATTAGATACATTTCCCCTATTAAATAAATTTAACAATTTTATTTTTATATGTAGATTTACCGTGAAGACCTATTGAATTCCCCCCGACTTCTCTGGAAGTCATCGTATCAGATGTTAACCCAACAAACAAATCAAAGTCACAAATAAGCATACACATTGAATAAATGCTGTATAACAGTGTACAATGCTGAATAAAACAGGATGTCGAATTATGTGCTGAAAAAAGGTCATTGAGATCGATAGATGCGCCTTTATTCCGCCGTTTGGTCTGATATGATTAATTTCCTTATTAAAAGCTTTATAAACGTTGACTGTCTTCCTTATTCAGAACCAAAAGTTTGATCTAATAACAAACTGAATAAGTGTAATTTTCACATACATTGTCGCTTTAATTCGACTGTTTACAATTGATTGAATAAAATGCTTTATTAAACGTCTTATAAATGTTTTCTAGCTCCATTATTAGATGTCATTGCATTGCTTTACAATATTGCTGTATAAAGGTGAATACACTCAGCAAAATAGCTCTTATACCACCCAACAAACAATTCATAGTCTTAAATAAGCATATATATTGAATAAATGCTGTATAACAGTGTACAATGCTGAATAAAAATAGTTGTCGAATTATGTGCTGAAAAAGCTCATTGAGATCGATAGATGCACATTTATTCAACTGTTTGCTCCGATTAATTTACTTATTAAAAGCTGTGAAAGTGTTAAATGTCTTCGTTCGATCTAATAACAAACTGAATAAGTGTAATTTGTACATACATTGACACTTTAATTCGACTGTTTTCAATTGATTTAATAACATGCTTTATTAGACGTCTAATAAATGTTCTCTAGCTCCATTATTAGATTTCATTGAATTGCTTTAGAATATTGCTGAATAAAGGTGAATACAGTCAGCATAATAGCTCTTACACCACTATGCGTCCATGTAGCAATCACATGATTTTTTGTAAATGCTTCATAAACAACGTACTAGAGTCATTATTCGACAACACCGATTCAGTCTTACAACAAGGCGAAATCAGTAGAGTAGTGGTTATCGTTTCCACTTTCCAATTAGAAGGTCGTGAGTTCAATCCCAAGCTCAACCCTTTTTTTTTATTTGTGTAGAACATAATTAATTTAAATAGTGATCATCGATCACATGACTCACGATAATGAATGCATTAATCTAGTTTAAAATATAACCGAGCATCCTTTCTTTCGACTTGGAGATGTGAAGAGGCAACATTGGTCTCATTTAAAACAACGATGAATGAATTAATCATTCCGACAGGGCCTTGAAGGAGCTAGAGTGGTGATCGGGAGTGCTGATAGGTATGTACTTTCATGCAAGCTTTTATTGATTATTGAGTTGCCCATATGATGCATTATAAGATAGCTCAGATGACAAGACAAGCGGCTGGTGATCGGAAGGTACATGGTTCGAATCCCATACAACGACATGTATAAGTATTTAAACAAATTTCCTAATATCTGTGTGGTGCGAGCCACGTCAGAAATATTGAAATACAATACACTTAAGAAACACACACTTCCCCCCGTTCCCGTGTCCCTCTTATTTTCGGGTTAATTTTCCCACAGTTGAATAATTGTTTAATAAATGTATAATAATGTCTAATTAAACGTTACTTCACATGAGAATCAAGCGTATACAGAGTATCACTGTTTTAAGGAAGCAGTGATGTCTAATAAACGCTGAATAATCAAAAATTTTATCGCATAAACTCTGTTACAACTCATATAAGTCGAATAAAAGCTTTTCGACATACCTTATACAACACCAGTAGTTCAATGTTTGTGGTTGAATAAATTCTCCAGATTTGTGTGAACAAAGTCTGAACAGAAGTTATTATTAAAAATAGTACAAGTACTATTAAGCATGCAGTTAAATAAAATGGCCAACAAGTCGTTTCTTCAATAGACGATTGTTTGTTGGGAAATCCATCTACTACAGGAAGTGTCATCCGACTTCTCCAGAATTTTTTACTAAATTTCCCCGATTTCTTCTGACTTTCTTCAGGAATTTCTTCAAAGTGCCTCCGGAAGTTTCTTCTGATTGATTTTCTTTGAAAGATTCTTCAAAATTCCTTTGAAGTCTTTTTTAACTTTCTCCGGAAGATTCTTCTAACTTATCCTGATAGTTTATTTTCTATATTCCTCCAAAAGAATCTTTATTCCACTCCTGGAAATTTATTCTGGTTTTCTTGAAATGTTTACCTCGACTACCTTCCGTCTTTCCGCGTAGGCTTG